CGTCAGTTCGAATCCCAACCACGGCACCACCTGCCTGGAGTTTGCATGTTCTCCCTGTGCCTGCGGGGGTTTCCTCTGGGTACTCTGGTTTCCTCCTACACACCAAAGACATGCTGATAGGTGAATTGGTTCCTTTCTAAATTGGCCCTAGTATGTGTATGTATGTATGTGAGTTAGGGACCTTAGATTGTACGCCCCTTGAGGGTTAGGGACTGATGTGAATGTACAATATGTATGTAAAGTGCTGCGTAAATTGACAGTGATATATAAGTACCTGAAATAAATAATAAATAAATAACTCTGAATAGTTGAGATGGAGAGGCAGGAAGATGACTTTATAATCTGCACTTCATCCATTCAGAGGAAGCCTTGAATTCACTGATAAAAATACAAGGCTCACCTTGAATGGCTGAACAGCTTTTCGACCGACTCGATTTTGTTTCAGCAGCAAATGGGAAGTCCCCATACTGCTGACAGTAAAGGGAAGAAGTCTCTGCACTTCTTTGGAAACTGCAGCCTGCACGTGAACCTTGGTTCTCAGTAGTTTTGTGATTTCCAGTGCGGGTGCCGTGCCATTAGAATGGCACCCACCCGCGGGTCCGCATTCCTCTGTGTGGGTGGTGCAGCTGCAGGGATTTTTGTGTGGATCCACAGCGGCACCACCCGCACAGATGTCAACCTAGCCTTATAAAGCACTGCAGGAATGCGTAAAAGAAGTAGTTCATTAGAGCAAGCTTGGCCCAAACTATTTAAAGTTTGGCTTCACCCTGTCAAGCCCTAAACAACCCCTCCCTGCAATACAAGAGGTATTATCCCCCACCATTGATCCGTTCCCACACTAAAGCACCCACCACACTCTCCTGGAAGTATCAGATGCCCATGTTCCTTACTGCTTGCTTTGGCTACAAGCTCCAACTTTTAAGTCTCCTAGATTGTAAGCTCCAAGGATCAGACTCTCCTATCCCTCTTGTATTGAACTGTATTGTTGCTGTATTGTCTCCCTTTATATTGTAAAGCGCTGAGCAAACTGTTGGCGCTTTATAAATCCTGTATAATAATAATATATAAATCCTGTATAATAATAATAATAATAAAAAAATAATAATATATAAATCCTGTATAATAATATATAAATCCTGTATAATAATAATCTATAAATCCTGTATAATAATAATAATAATAATAATAATAATAAATAATAATCTATAAATCCTGTATAATAATAATAATAATATATAAATCCTGTATAATAATAAATATATAAATCCTGTATAATAATAATAATAATAACAATAAATAATAATATATAAATCCTGTATAATAATAATAATAATATATAAATCCTGTATAATAATAATAATATATAAAGTCACTACAGGACACAGCAGTACCACATGGGTGGGAGGATGGAGCCACAGGCATCCAAGGATTGAATGCTGGAGTGTTTAGTGAAGAATGCAGCAGGAGACATAGGCAGCCCAAGAGGCAAGTATAATACATCATCCCTCATTAGGATTTTTTCCACCCCAAAGACTAACAGGGTCTTTTACCAGGATGTCTGCCCTACAAGTGATCAAGATCCCTCCAGCTGCTTGCTGTCCATCCACGTCCGAAGTGCCTCAACCATTTGTGGAATGATCGGATGATGGAACAAGAAGAGGGTAAGGGCTCATGTACACTGCAGCTGATAAACTCACGTTCAGAAGCTTTTCTGCGATTTTTTCAGCAGCCCCTGAACTCTCACGAATGTTTTCCTATGTGTCCATGTACACTATGTCATTTAATCAGTTGAGTTTACAGTCTTTTTTTTTTGAACGCACCAAACTTGCATTCAGGAGTAATTTTACCAGCATTTCAAACGCCAAACACTTGTAAACGCGGCTAACCGCTTTTAGAAACGTTTTTTAACTGTTCCATATCCAGATGCTGTCCAGAGTCTTTTTTCATCATCAGAAATGCATGCAAAGCGTTTTCCATGTATTCAAATGGACCCGGTACACCAGCGCAGTCAATTCCAGGTTTTGCGTGAAGGAATAAACCGTAGAACGCGCCGCATTATGCTCATGCTGGGATCCATAGTGAATACAACCAGAAAAGACAGGTCATCTCAACACATACTGCTCTCTCTGCTTCTGCTCTCTATTTCTCTCAAAATGTCTGAAATAGTTAATTATTTACTATTTTTCAGTGCATTCTGGGTATTTGAGATTTCCTGAGGTTATCCTAAAAACGCTTCTAAATGCAAAACACACATAAGTGCGCATACACGCGGTATGCAAACGCGGCTAAACTGACGGTTTTTAACCTACGTTTTCCAACAGTCAGTTTCCATCGTTCAGAAGAGTTTTCCAAATGCCCCGTGTACATTATTATTATACAGTATTTATAAAGCGCCAATAGTTGGCTCAGCGCTGTACATTACAAAGGGGGACAGAACATGTGACAGAACAATACCAATACAATGCAAAACACGAGGGGATCGAGGGCCCTGCTCTTTCGAGCTTACAATCTAGGAGCCCTTAGCACATTGGAAGGATGTAGGATTGGGATAGAAAGTCTGTTCAGTTTTCAAACATTAGATCCTCACATGTATAGCATTTTTACAGCTCTGCGTTTTTCCACAGTAGACCGTCAGCTAAAAAGTACTGCAATAAAAAAATGTGAAAAAACATGCAGTGTCTTATTACACTTACATGTCCAAACAGCAACAGGAACACTGCAGGACGATTATGTAAGCAAATTTACAAACCCAATACAATCTGAAGAGCCAAACATTGGGCTCAGATCACATTAGACCAATGATGCTAATTGGGCAAACTTCCTCTTCCCTAAACAAATGCATCTGGCCCATCCTCAGGCCATAATCAGCCATCACAATCATGTTCAAACACAGCTGTCCTGAGTTTGGCAGCCATGGTCTGTCTGCTGGAGGGAGCACCCTGTTGGGGAATGTAGATCCTTACAGTCAGCTGGTTTTCTCCCAAATACTCTACAGAATCTTAGCAATCATTCCCTCGCCCACGTGATAGACGAAGCTAAAATTCTAATTAGATGAGACTGTGCTGAGAACAATTTGCCTATTGAAGTGCAACTACAGGCCAACAGCTAAACACACATTTGAAATACATATATGAACTGGTCTACCTGCCAAAAAATTTTGAATCCTGTGCAGGCAGTCCTGTGATCTCTGCTCCCCTGAAACACTGCACAGGCAGGTAGGTGACAACTCCATTTACTGGTTCATTTACGTGGCCTCTTGTGTCATTTCCCTAGCTCTGAAGCTGGAAGATCAACCGCAGCCAGTGACCCATCATTTTTTTTATGGTCAGTGTATGTATTTGTAAGGGTAACACATCCCAGGTATTCATTACTTCCCACAGAGATCCGAGTATTCCTCCTGACAATCTCTTTTTTTTTTTCTTAAAAAAAAAAGTCAACACACACACACACACACACACACACACACACACACACACACACACACACACACACACACACTACCCCCCCCCCCCCCCCCCCCCCCGATAAATAAATAAACACACACAACCTTTGTTCAGGCATCTACAAGGATCACCATCTACCCCAGGACTAAAGCCCCATTCATACTTGCAAATAGGGCAGGGTGCAATCACACTATGTGCTGGGAGAGGAAGCCCCATTGAAAGCAAAGGAAGGCTGAATGCTCAGCCAAATCGCAGTCGCTCACATGTAATCACTCATGCAGCAGTCTGCGTCCAGGGCCGATTATTCGCAGGTAAATCACTGCTTCAGAGGTTATATGTGAGTGGCCATGATTAGCTGCGGGAGACATAACCCTCCTATTGCTTTCCAATGGGGTTTCCTCCTGCAGGTAATCTCCAGGAACCCCATATAATCGCACACACAGCCCCAATCGCAAGTATCAGTGAGACCTAAGAAGTTGACTCTTGAGATGACAAGTAAATTGTGCCTCCTGTGCAGGTCTTAACTGTCCAAGAGTCCCTCAACTTGTGACTTGCTACAAAGTTATGACATTGCAGTCGGATCATCGGGTGGACAGAATATGGAGGAAATGATTCATCCTGCCTGCAGCAGACTGATGACAGCACCCCAGCCGAGGCAATCTGACTTAGCTGGGGACAAAGCTGCACCTTAGATTGTACACCCCTTGAGGGTTAGGGACCTTAGATTGTACGCCCCTTGAGGGTTAGGGACTGATGTAAATGTACATTATATATGTAAAGTGCTGCGTAAATTAACGGCGCTATATAAGTACCTAAAATAAATAAAATAAATAAATTTCATACTGAGCCCCTCAGCTCAGCAGAGGATCTGGGAACAGATCCCCTGCGGAATAGCCCGATAGGACAGTTTTACTTTTTTTTTTTTTTTTTTAAACATCCATGGCCGTTCAGTTTGGTCTGGTGGACATGGCACAGTGGACCAGTGATAGCCCCACGAGCGGCCGGATGTAAAATGGACATTTGTCCGTTTACATCAGGCTACCACGGATCTGTCACGTCCAGGTCAGGAAAAGTAGAAAAGGATGAAGTCCTCTTCCGTTTTCCTTTTCTGGACCTGGACGGACTTGTAAGTAGGAGGGTAAGTAGACAGAAGAAGTGTCCATACAGCTGCATGGAACTTCTGATCAGGTCCGCCTGACAGGTGGGCCTGACTGGAAAGGTCTATCTCGTGATATAAATTTTAAAAATTCAATTGCTGCTGTAAGTTGTAATATGTCAGACTGGAAGGTCCACTTTAATAAAGCACCACACACTGACTGCAGGAGCAAACAGACATGGTCACATGAGGTCAACCAATGTGTCCACCGTACAACACCATCCCGCATATCCACTCAGACATCAAGTAGCCACAGGGGTGGTCTTTTCACATGCTCAGACAATTACCTTCTAAATGGTCCTGTCATTCAACAGTCTGAGAAGTGCCTTTATTATTCATTATTCAGCCTAAATATCACAGGAGATGAGGATCTGCATGTTTATTGCCAAAACAAAACCTACCATCTGGTCTGCTAGCAGCAGTACGGTTTTCAAGCTGAATTTCCTGGAGCAAAAGTTGAAGAGATCTTCCAGGCTTGGTCCCAGCAACTCCATGACCATGACATTATAGTCACCTTCTGCTCCACACCACTTTATGGTAGGGATTCCCACTAAAAGAAAAAAACAAAACACAAGCTGGTAAACAATGCTGGACACAGATGGGAAGCCTCCTTGCAAAGGCTGAAGGTAGCTGGTGGACATCTATCTGCTCTACACCAGCCTTTCTCAACCCGGGAACCCAGGCACCCTGGGGTGCCTTGAGGTTTCTTCAGGGGTGCCTTGGCAAAAGGTCTAAAAATTGCCCAAAACTTGTATACCAGCCAGCGGGTGGAAGAAGCCTGACTTAGTTACACAAAGCCACAGGTTTTCATTGAGCACCATTACGACCTTCTAGCCGTCGGCGTCTTGACAACCAATGACATCATCAGTTGATAAGGAGGATGTCAGCTGCCTGCACAGCATCCTAGTTTGACCCTCCCCCGCCCCTCACCATCAGTGTTGGGGTCACATTAGCTCAGTGATGGATAAAAACTGAGGGAGAGGAGAAACATGGGAATACTAGTCAGTACCAGTGTGCAAATGTGCACATTTGTTTTGGAAGAATAAATCACCTCTAATGTTGAGTGTCCTACATGTGTGGATGTTGCTGCGTTATATAAAACTATTAGAATAATTTTTCACATTTTAGAATGGGGTGCCCTTTTAAAATTATGGACAGTCTGGAGGCACCCCATTTTAGAATAGGGTGCCTCGGGACTGTCCAGAATTGTAAAGGGTGCCTCGGGACTGTCCAGAATTGTAAAGGGTGCCTCGGGACTGTCCAGAATTGTAAAGGGTGATTCGGGACTGTCCATGATTGTAAAGGGTGCCTCGGGACTGTCCATGATTGTAAAGGGTGCCTCAGGACTGTCCAGAATTGTAAAGGGTGCCTCGGGACTGTCCAGAATTGTAAAGGGTGCCTCGGGACTGTCCATGATTGTAAAGGGTGCCTCGGGACTGTCCATGATTGTAAAGGGTGATTCGGGACTGTCCATGATTGTAAAGGGTGATTCGGGACTGTCCATGATTGTAAAGGGTGATTCGGGACTGTCCATGATTGTAAAGGGTGATTCGGGACTGTCCATGATTGTAAAGGGTGATTCGGGACTGTCCATGATTGTAAAGGGTGCCTCGGGACTGTCCATGATTGTAAAGGGTGCCTCGGGACTGTCCATGATTGTAAAGGGTGCCTCGGGACTGTCCAGAACTGTAAAGGGTGCCTCGGGACTGTCCAGAACTGTAAAGGGTGCCTTGACTGAAAAAAAAAAGGTTGAGAAACACTGGTCTACACCACACTGAAGCCCAGGCAGTCCTCACCTCCTCCTTGCATCATCTTGTAGATCTTGCTCTCGATGTGGAGCTGGGGGTGTTTCGTCTTCACACATTCTAGCTTTATTGCAACTTCCTCAGCTGCTGCTATGTCAGTGCCTGCAAGTAAAGCGATATCAAATATTAAAAAATGATGAGGTTATAGTGAGAACAAAGCTAGGCAAAAATTATAGACATCAAACTGCTTTATGGCATAAAGCAGACAAGTCATTCTAAGGGTTGTTCACACTAGCAGTTGGGGGGGGGGGGGGGGGGGGGGGGGGGGGCAGTAAAAACACCAGGGTTGAGCCGTGCTTTTACCAACCCCCAACCACTACCCCTTTGGCTGCAGAGGCAGTAGCCAGGGTGTACTGACTGTGATGATTTGCTTCATGGCCACAGCAAGGATTATATTGCTGCATGTGACACATTCAAGTGAATGGGGCGGCTTGGCAAGTGCCCTGTAACCAGATGCTAGAGAGGCGATCAAGGCCTTAAAAAGAAGTATGGCTAAAGCTCTTTTGACTATACTTTTTCCTATGGGTCACAGGAGTGCACATTGTTCTGCACTCCTGTGACCCATATTCAGCCAACAGCTGACATCACTCAGCCGGTCCAGGCTCAGGAAAGATCCCAACTTCACATTCGGGATCCACCCAGATGACTGGACCGGCAGCTACCTCAGCCTCTCAGAGCCCGAGCCAGCCGCTCCCACCCTCTTCCACAGCCTGGCACACCAGTGAGTGCTGGCAGGGCAGAACAGAGACCCTGAGACCAGGGGCGGACTGACAACTCATGGGGCCCCCGGGCAATAGGGGATCATGGGGCCCGTGTCCTTGCCCAAACTCAAAAAAGCCTATGAAAACGGTACCAGGGGCATCTCATGGGGCCCCCTACTGACCCCAGGCCCTCGGGCAGTGCCCGAGTTTCCAAATGGTCAGTCCGCCCCTGCCAGAGACGGACAGTCACCAGCTCTTTGCAGACTGAAAAATCGAGAACTGAGCGATCAGCGGTGTTTTTATCGCTCAGTTCTCTGCCTTAGAAGCGGTGATGCAGCGTGGATCTAAGCTGCATCCACCTTGGTGAGTATGACTTTTTTTTTTTGTTTTAACTCCCACACTTCTTTTTTTTTTAAAGCAGTACGTCTCCTCACCAGCTGTCAAATTGCTCTCCACCCCTGGTTCACATATCCGCGTTCCTGCAGGCCACGTTTTGCACGGGCATGAGAGCCCATTCCTTTGAATGGGCTCATATGCCCCGGGACACGCAGGGAAGAAGTCCCTACACTTCTTTAGAAACCGCATGCCATAAGAATTAATGTCACCCGCCCGCGGGTCCGCATTCTTCTGTGTGGTTGGCACGGATTTTTGTACGGATCCGCAGCGGCACCACCCGCACACATGTGAACCTAGCCTCAGAGAGCAAAGCTCGTTTGAATGAGCTGTAAGCGATACCCATGGTTAAAAAAAAAAAAAAAATTGACAAAACATCAGTTTTTCATTCACTAATCCACAGATTAGAGGAGATCTATGTGATCATTCCTGGGTTAACCACTTCCCGACCCGGCCGTTGCATATAAACGGCCAGACGGTGGCACTGCAGGGTCGGGTGGCCGTTTATGAACGGCCTCCCCGCACCCTGCTTGTGCGCGCTCCCTGGGAGCACGCAGCACCACGATCCGGTGCCCGCTGTGTCCTCCGGACACAGTGAAACACCGATCGTCGGACGGGACCTCTGTACGAGGTCCCGATCATGTGATCACTGATTGGCCAATCAGTGATCAATGCAAAGTAGTAAGCATGATGTCACTTGTGATATCATTGCTTACTACGTGTGAAATCTGTGAATGATCACAGAGGTCACATGGTACAGGGCTATTCACAACAGCCTTGTGCCATGTGACAAGCTGTGACCAATCACAGCTCACTCAGTACTTCTCAATGAGTGCAAGAATGCAGACAGAGAGAAAGAGAAATTATTGCTTTTACATCCTATATGGGTGTAAAAGCAATCAGTGTAAAAAAAAAAAAAAAAAAAAAAAAAAAAAAAAAAAATCTTCATCACCCCCCACAAGTAGTACAGTACAGTGGTGACACTGTACTGCTAGGGTGACAGTATGTAAAAAAAATAATAATAAAAAATATAAAAAAATATATAAAAAATGTAAAAAAAATATGTTTGAAAATTATAATTTTTGGTGATAAACTAATTTGTATTTTTTTTTTTTTTTTACTAAAAAGATAATGGAATACATTTTGGCAAAGATTTATGATGAAATATTTGCAAAATTTTATTAAAAAAAAAAAAACTTTTTTTCAAAATTTTTGGACTTTTTCATTTAAATAGCAAAAAAAAAATCCCAGCGGTGAATAAATACCACCAAAATAAAGCTTTATCTGTCTCAAAAAAAATGGTAAAATTCATTTGGATACAGTGTTGCATGACTGCGCAATTGTCATTCAAAGTGTGATAGCGCTGAAAGCTGAACATTGCCCTGGTCAGGAAGGGGGTAAAAATGTCCGGTCTGGAAGTGGTAAAAAAAAAAAAAAAAAAAAAAAAAAAAAAGATTAGAGGAGATCTATGTGATCATTCCTGGGTTAATAAAAAAAAAAAAAAAGGGTCAGTTAAAAGCAGCTATATAGAGTACCTTGGCCTTGGCAGTGACGGGGGAAGCAAGGGCAAGTCACTTCTACATCCCCTGCACATGGTACAGTGACAGGGGTAGCTTCAAAATGAAATCCTATGAAAATATTTCATATAATGGGTGTCACTGAGCAAGCAGATCCTTGTTCTGCATTACCTAGGCAGGCACAGCTTACATCCCAGCTCTCGGCAAAAGCCCAATGTGGACAGGAGCATTACAGGGCAGGGCTATGATCAGGCTGCCCATTATTCTATTAGAAGCAGAGCTCCAGCCTTGTCTTCAGTGTTGCACAACAGTACAGTCTCCTCTCCTGAACCGATTAGAAAACTAAAACTGCAGCAGACCAGATAGAACCTGCCTCCTTTCCTGGCTGGAGGACACGGAACATAATCTAGCTCTATCCCCCACAGCTTGACTTTCCTTGGCCCGTCTTGTTCCACTAGACTTCAGGTTTTAATAAGGGAGGCTCAGCATGACGTGGGCGTTACCACAGCTTCCTTTATTCAAGATACCATGTACAGCTCCCTGCCGGCCCATCCTGACAAATATGTACTGCCTGCATTGCATTGAGAAGAACAGAGACCTAGCCAGGAGGTCACTGGGTGGAAAATAAGGGATAATGAAAACAAAGGTTTTTTGCTTTTTAAGCAATTTTATAGGCATGTTATTGAGAAAGTAAAAGAGGAACTAAAGAAGACAAAAAACAAACTAAAAAAAAAAAAAAAAAAACAAAAAAAACAAAAACAAAACAAAAACCCACCATACCAAGAGGAAGCAAAGAAAGGCATCATGCACACTGACACTTTTGTTTTTTTGTTGTTGTTTTTTTTTTTTTTAAACGCCCCTAGAAGCCAGCAGTCTTTTGGACGAAAAAATGCTTGGTTTGGGCATTCATTCATTTCGTTGACCAGAATACATTATTTATTCTGGCCTTTGAAATAAATTAACACGCAAGAGCTAAACACGCCTAGCGTTAACATGCATTTAAGTGCGTCAAGCATTTTTACAGCCAAAACGCTGCTGCTCCGAGACGCCTTAGAGGTGTTTTGTTTTTTTTTCTCTGCCACTAAACTCTCCTGCCACAAAACACAGCTAAAATCCTGTGTGCGCATGAACACATAGGAGAACGTGCGGGGGAGTTTAGAGGCAATTAAAAACACAAAAAAAAAAAACACTTGACGCCCCCTAGGAGCAGCTGTAAAAATGTCCAGTGTGCATGAGGCCTAAAGAGAAGATCATTGTTAAGGTTTTATACACCAAAAAAGTGTTAAAGTGGGGCAGCATAGAGGCTACGTGGTTCGCACTACCGCCAAACAGTACTAGGATCATCAGTTCAAATCCCAGCCATGGCACTACCCGCCTGGAGTTCGCATGTTTCTCCCAGTGGCACTACCCGCCTGGAGTTTGCATGTTCTCCCTGTGGCACTACCCGCCTGGAGTTTGCATGTTCTCCCTGTGGCACTACCCGCCTGGAGTTTGCATGTTCTCCCAGTGGCACTACCCGCCTGGAGTTTGCATGCTCTCCCAGTGGCACTACCCGCCTGGAGTTTGCATGCTCTCCCTGTAGCACTACCCGCCTGGAGTTCGCATGCTCTCCCAGTGGCACTACCCGCCTGGAGTTCGCATGTTCTCCCAGTGGCACTACCCGCCTGGAATTCGCATGTTCTCCCTGTGGCAATACCTGCCTGGAGTTTGCATGTTCTCCCTGTGGCAATACCTGCCTGGAGTTTGCATGTTCTCCCTGTGGCAATACCTGCCTGGAGTTTGCATGTTCTCCCTGTGGCAATACCTGCCTGGAGTTTGCATGTTCTCCCTGTGGCAATACCTGCCTGGAGTTTGCATGTTCTCCCTGTGGCAATACCTGCCTGGAGTTTGCATGTTCTCTCTGTGGCAATACCTTCCTGGAGTTTGCATGTTTTCCCTGCGGCAATACCCGCCTGGAGTTTGCATGTTCGTCCTGCGGCAATACCCGCCTGGAGTTTGCATGTTCATCCTGCGGCAATACCCGCCTGGAGTTTGCATGTTCATCCTGCGGCAATACCCGCCTGAAGTTTGCATCCCTGTGCCTGCATGGGTTTCCTCCCACACTCCAAAGACATGCTGGTAGGTTAATTGGCTCCTGCCTAGACTGGCTCTAGTATGTGCATGTATGCGAGTTAAGGACCTTAGATTATAAACTCCTCTAGGGCAGGGTCTGATAAGAATGCAATAAGCGATGCATAAATTAACAAACGCTATACAGGTACCTGTAAAAAAAAAAAAACAAATTCAAAGAAATACCAGTGTGCTTCTAAAGAATACAAATAAGTAATGTTGCTACTACCACCTAAGAGTGTTCCCACACTCACACTAGACTGTAACAAAATAAAATATTATAGAGCTGCACAAAACAAGTAAACAAAACACCACATATGATAAATTTCATAACAATAATATATAAAAACAAATCCTCTGATGAAGGCACGTGGCGCAACGT